GGGGGGGGGGGGGGGGGGGGTGGTCTGTAGTTTGAAACCCCTGGATGACCAACGTGACACAGACCCACTGATGTGACCCACTTTGACCTCTGTGACCCACAGGTGAGGTGATGGCCATTGGTCGGAGCTTTGAGGAAGCCTTCCAGAAAGCTCTGAGGATGGTGGACGAGAACTGCGTGGGCTTCGACCACACCATCAAGCCTCTGTCTGAAACGGTAGAGACAACATGTGTGGATTAGTTCTGGACCGTTTTAGTAACCCCCCCCCCCGTACCTGATGGTTCCTCTGTCAGAGTGGTGTGACGTTGGAAACCCATGCTCCCTCTCTCCTCTTTCTCTCCTCCACCCTCTACTCCCCCCCCACAGGAGCTCCAGACTCCCACAGACAAACGCATCTTTGTGCTGGCGGCGGCGCTGAAGGCCGGCTACACCGTGGACCAGCTGTACAACCTGACCAAGATCGACCGTTGGTTCCTGTACAAGATGAAGAACATCACTGACCATGGAAAGCTGCTGGAGACGTACAACCAGGTGAGATGGAATTAACACGCCCTCAAAGAAGGTTGGGGTTTTTATGGTTTTGGTTTTTTTTGCCTCTCGTACAAATGTGGTTTGTTCTTTCAGGATGAGAGTACGATTCCTCCTGAGGTGATGAGGAAGGCAAAGCAGCTGGGTTTCTCAGACAAGCAGATAGCACTGGCTATAGAGAGGTGAGCTGGAGATGTCAGTACTGATGTCAGTACTGACATCAGTACTGACATCAGTACTGATGACAGTAACACAATCACGACACTGGGGCAATGATACGATATATTGCGAAATACTGCAATACTATAGTCATGATGATATATTGCGTGTTTTTTTTTAGTCAAACATTTCTATCATTTCCTGTAGCACTGAACTGGTTGTGAGAAAGCTTCGCCACGATTGGTCCATCCTCCCTGTCGTGAAGCAGATCGATACGGTGGCGGCGGAATGGCCCGCCCACACTAACTACCTGTATCTGACCTACCACGGCATGGAGAACGACCTGGCCTTCGACGACCAGCACGTCATGGTGATCGGCTCCGGTGTGTACCGCATCGGCAGCAGCGTGGAGTTCGACTGGTGCGCAGTGGGCTGCATCACAGAGCTGAGGAAGGTGAGAACCACGGGACGCTCAGGGCTGATGCTTCACACTGAGTTCTACTGTTCCTCTGACCTCTGACCTCTGTTATAGATGGGTTATAAAACCATCATGGTCAACTACAACCCTGAGACGGTCAGCACAGACTACGACATGTGCAACCGCCTCTACTTTGACGAGATCTCCTTTGAGGTGAGGCTCCTCCCACCAACCTGTCTGAGTCCGTTCTTCTTGGTTTAACGGCCTGACAAACTGCCGTTTCTGTCTGCGTCCAGGTGGTGATGGACATCTACGAGAGGGAGAACCCAGAGGGCGTGATCCTGTCCATGGGTGGGCAGCTGCCCAACAACATCGCCATGTCTCTGCACCGTCAGCAGTGCCGCATCCTGGGAACGTCGCCGGAGTTCATCGACTGCGCTGAGAACAGGTTCAAGTTCTCCAGGATGTTGGACACCATCGGCATCAGCCAGCCTCAGTGGAAGGAGCTGTCGGACACCGAGGTGAGGACGTTACCGACACTGTAGGAACCAGTGGCGGGGTGAGAACCTTATGTTTGAACCACGTGACCCTGTGTGTCTCCAGTCGGCTATGAAGTTCTGTGAGACTGTGGGTTACCCCTGCCTCGTCCGTCCCTCCTACGTCCTGAGTGGAGCGGCCATGAACGTGGCCTACGGCGACACCGACCTGAAGAAATATCTGTGCAGCGCTGTGGCCGTGTCCAAGGAGTATCCGGTCGTCATCTCCAAGTTCATCCAGGAAGCCAAGGTCTGGAAAAGGAGTCCAGAACCAGGTCGGTGTTCAAGACAAACGCTGATTCTTTTTGTCTTTACCAGGAGATCGACGTGGACGCCGTGGCGTGTGACGGCATCGTGTTAGCCTTCGCTGTGTCCGAACATGTGGAGAACGCAGGTGTTCACTCTGGTGACGCCACACTGGTGACCCCGCCCCAGGACCTCAACCAGAAGACCATTGAGAGGATCAAGATGATCGTCCACGCCATTGGCCAGGAGCTGCAGGTCACTGGACCGTTCAACCTGCAGCTGATCGCCAAGGTGAGCGCCGGCGTGGAACGTTTCAGCACGATGACCTTTGACGGGTGGTCACTCAGAGGGTCCACAGGTTTAAACCCTAAAGTTTACATGTTTAGTATATTTTGAGAGCCTGCTGAGCCCGACCACCATACGGGGGCAGTGTTGCACAGTAAAGTCCATGCGTGACCAGAACAAACAGACAGGAAACGACAGAACAACAACAGGAACGAAGGAAGTGTTTTGAACAGCTCATCTATGACATCACCTCACCAATGAGCCAAACAGCTGTGAGCCTGAAAGAAGCAAAGGAGGAAAATACTGCCCCCCAATGGAGGAAATCCAACATGTACCAACATAAAGTAGACTCAGGATGTAGGAGCAGTTTTGTAGGAAAGGGAGAAGTGAGACGAAAAGATCAGTCTTCGGCGACTGACCTTTGACCTTTGCTCTGTGACAGGACGACCAGCTCAAGGTGATCGAGTGCAACGTCCGAGTTTCCCGCTCTTTCCCGTTCGTCTCCAAGACACTGGGTGTGGACCTGGTTGCCCTGGCGACACAGGCCATAATGGGGGTGGATGTGGAGCCCGTGGGTCTGATGACGGGGAAAGGCATTGTGGGAGTCAAGGTAGTTATTGACACAGAAAGGATTCGTAGGTAGAAGACGGAGAATCGGCCGTTGAATTTCTTTCCTCCTGTTCCTCAGGTTCCTCAGTTTTCCTTCTCTCGTCTGGCCGGAGCCGACGTGGTGCTGGGGGTGGAGATGACCAGCACTGGGGAGGTGGCCTGTTTTGGGGAGGACAGATACGAGGCCTACCTGAAGGCCATGATCTCCACCGGCTTCAAGATCCCCAAGAAGAACATTCTGCTGTCCATCGGCAGCTTCAAGGTATATTCAGCATGAAGTTTACTGACGTAACTGTAGTTCCACAATGGTCCAGCAGGGGGAGCTCAAAGCAAAGCTTGATCTCACTATCGTTACTTTCATTGACTTTTACAGTTTTTCCATTTTTAGTTTAGTTAGTAATTTGGTCCTTGTTGCATTTGAGGGTTTTTTTATGGTGAGATTTTCTTGTGTGTTTTTGTTTTGTGTGTTTGCAGAACAAGAGTGAGCTGCTGCCCACAGTCCAGACTCTGGAGTCTATGGGTTACGACCTGTACGCCAGTCTGGGCACCGCCGACTACTACACTGAACACGGAGTCAAGGTGACGGGAACGAAACCTACGTGTAGTTTTTCAACTTGAAGTGTAGAAACACTACAGTGTAGATTATACTTATATTAATGATGGTAATAGGGCTGTAAGAAAATATCAATACACTGAAATACATCAGTATCCTCGGTCATCAGTGTATTGATTTTTTTTTTAATTTTATTTATCACCAATTCCCAGTCAGATATTCCTGGTGTTGGTTCATGGTTCATGTTTATGGTTTGGTCACCTGTAGGTGACAGCGGTGGACTGGCCGTTTGAGGATGACAGCGACTGCCCCAACAAGGAGAAGCAGCGCAGCATCATGAACTACCTGGAGGACAACCACTTCGACCTGGTGGTCAACCTCTCTATGAGGAACAGCGGGGGGCGCCGTCTCTCCTCCTTTGTCACCAAAGGCTACAGGACCAGACGCATGGCGGTGGACTACTCTGTCCCTCTCATCATTGACATCAAGTGCACCAAGCTCTTTGTTCAGGTGGGTCTCATCCCCAAATCCCTTCACTCTTCATCCAGCTCATTCAAACTGTGGGCTGCAGACCACCCGCAGCCCGGACAGAACCTCGACGTGGCCCAGTCTGTGGTCATTTGAAAATGAAGAGGGAAAAACGAAAAAGAGGGAAAAAGGTCATTTGAAAATGAAGAGGGAAAAACTGAGAGAGTTACAGTTTGAATGAAGAGACCATGAAGGCAGCACTGGGTAGCCTAGCAACACTGGGTAGCCTAGCAACATGCTATCTTACTGCATCAGTTGTTCAGCGACTTCAGTGGGTTTAATAAACAGTTCTCGGGTCCAGGCTCCGCTCTGTGGTGTTGACTGAAGAGAAAATGTTGTTGGTTTTTTGTTTCTGCGTCAGGCGCTCCGTCAGACCGGCAGTAGACCACCGGTGAAGACGCACATCGACAGCATGACGTCACAGACGCTCGTCCGTCTCCCAGGTGAGTCCCTGCTGCAGGAACTGTTCTGTGCTCGGTCACTGACGTCTGTTAGCGATCGGTTCCTTCAGAGCGGGCCTGTTGTATTTTTTTTCAGGACTGATCGACGTCCACGTCCACCTGCGGGAGCCGGGGGCCACTCATAAGGAGGACTTCTCCTCTGGGACGGCGGCTGCTCTGGCCGGTGGAGTGACCATGGTGTGCGCCATGCCCAACACGTCGCCGGCCGTCACCGATGTGGCCACTCTGGCTTTGGTCCAGAAGGTGTGTCCGTGTTTTATGGACAAACATACTGTATAAATGAATGTAAAATATAAAATGTGACGCCTGTGTGTGGTGTGGTCAGCTGGCCAAGGCGGGCTGCAGGTGTGACTACGCCCTGTATGTGGGCGCGGCTTCAGACAACGCCGCCGTTCTGCCTTCGTTTGCCAGCCAGGCTGTGGGTCTGAAGATGTACCTGAACGACACCTACTCCACTCTGAAGATGGACAACGTCTCCCTGTGGATGGAGGTAACACTTGAGCTGTCCCTTCTGTGATGTCACATGAGCATCATCAAATGTTCTGACTGTCGTCGTGGTATTAGCTGCTAACTTTTAGTCGTCTCTTTGGCTAACTTTAGCCAATCACAGGACGTCATTATGTGACGTTATTTGAACACTGCCCTCTGCTGACATGTGACAGAAACGACATTTTATTATTTTGTGGCTGTGACTTCAGAGAAAATAAAACATGTCGTTTTTTGCTCAGCACTTTGAGAAGTGGCCCAAACACCTGCCCATCGTGGCTCACGCTGAGAAACAAACGGTGGCTGCCATCCTGATGGTGGCGCAGCTCTACCAGAGACCGGTCCACATCTGCCACGTGGCCAAGAAAGAGGAGGTAGAAGACCGATCTTTTATTTTACTTCTAAAAAAGTAAAAACCAAACGGTTGAAAAACTTTCTTTCTTTTTTTTTTTCATTTCTCATCTCTTCCTCTCAGATTATGATCATCCGTGCTGCCAAGCAGAAGGGCATCCAGGTCACCTGTGAGGTGGCGCCGCATCACCTCTTTCTGTGCAAGGACAACGTCCCTGACATCGGCGATGGGCGAGCACAGGTCCGACCCATGTTGGGAGCCCGGGAGGACGTGGAGGCGCTGTGGGAAAACCTGGACATCATCGACTGCTTTGCCACCGACCACGGTGAGTCCACGGACCAGGGGTTTAGAATCTGTTGTTCTGAATAATCTGTGTTCACTTGTGTTTTCATGGTTCATGTGTCATTTTTGGTTTCCTTTTGGTCGTTTAGCGCCTCATTCTGTTGAAGAGAAGAACAGCGAGCGTCCTCCTCCGGGGTACCCAGGTCTGGAGACCATGCTGCCTCTGCTGCTCACTGCCGTCAGTGATGGACGGCTGACCCTGGATGACATCATCAAAAGGCTCTACGACAACCCACGCAAGATCTTCAACCTGCCCGTCCAGGAGAACACCTACGTGGAGGTGTGGAGCCCAGCCAATCAGATGCCAGTTTCTCCAGCACATTCTCTGTGTCCTCCTCAGACTTGTTGTTGTCCTGCAGGTGGACCTGGAGCAGGAGTGGACCATTCCTCAGGCCATGCAGTTCACCAAGTCCAAGTGGACGCCTTTCCAGGGCATGAAGGTGAAAGGTAAAGTCCGCCGCGTGGTTCTGAGAGGAGAAGTGGCCTACATCGACGGACAGGTGAGTGAACGGACGCACAGGCAGAAAAGAAGAAAACAATTGTAGGTGAAGGATTTCTGAGGATTTTTTTTCCCCTCCATCTCTTCCTCTTCGCTTTCCTCCCTCTCCCTCTGGGTCTGTGTCTCAGGTGTTGGTGCCTCCAGGTTATGGTGAAGATGTAAAAACATGGCCGACCACCTCTTCCTCCGCCACCTCCACCTCGTTGTCATCATCATCATCAACCCTTCTTCCGACTGAGCCTGTTAAAGAAACTCCTCTGGTGATGGACAGTCCTTCAGTCAAAGACGACCACAGACCATGACCTGGTTTACTAACTTCAAACTTCTACTTCCTGTGCCCCAGAGTCCAGAACACACTCGACCCACTCCTCCCCGTGAAGCCCAGATACGAACACGAGCCCCGAGTCCTCGCCGCACAATCGGAGAGGGGCGTTACCTGCTGCCACCGCGTGTCCACCGCTCCTCCGATCCTGGATTTCCACCAGGTACTGAAGTCTGCCGTGAGGAGTTCGTGGTTCTGCCGACAGTTTCAGATGTTTGACCTGGTGTGACTTTGTCACCGTGTCCCCGCAGAGTTTATGATGCTGCCCCCTGCTGCTGCCGCTGCTGCTGCTGCTGCTGCTGCCGCCGCCGCCACCTTTGGTGACGGTTACGTTCACCCTCCACCCGTGTCCAGGCTGCTCTCTCCTCAGACCACACCACTTCCAGCTCTCAGTGCACCAGGGTCGCACTTCGCGACCTCGCCCTTCCTGCACCCTCTGATTGGACAGCACATCCTGTCTGTCAAACAGTTCAGTAAGGAGCAGGTAATCACAACTGAAATGTATATGGAATATTATTGAACATGTTGTTTTTTTTTAGTTTGTTCGGCAGCGCCCCCTCACGTCAAAACACTGCTACTACACACACATTTGACCTTAACTTCGTACGCTGTAATTACTGAAGAGAAGCTACAGAATAACAGAGGTTCATTTGTCATGCTCCGAGCCCTGGGGATCAGTACAGCAGTTAGAGTTGATCAGCTGATCAGAGCTGGGTTTTATTACTGCACATGTACAGTATTTTGGTGTTTTTAAATCTGAAATGTGTTTATTTTTTTCGTCCTTTGTTTCAGATCTCACACCTTTTCAATGTGGCCCACACTCTACGTCTGATGGTCCAGAAAGAGCGAAGCCTGGAAATCCTGAAGGTCTGGCTGCTCCTCTGGAAAACCTCTTGTTTACTGCAGTACTGATGTTGTACTCTCAACTTAACCCTGAAATACATCTCCCAGGGTAAAGTGATGGCGTCGATGTTCTACGAAGTCAGCACTCGCACCTCCAGCTCCTTTGCTGCCGCCATGCAGCGTCTGGGCGGCTCCGTGGTCCACTTCTGCGAATCCACCTCGTCCACGCAGAAGGGAGAGACTCTGGCCGACTCCGTCCAGACCATGAGCTGCTACGCCGACGTTCTGGTGCTGCGACACCCGCTGCCTGGAGCCGTGGAGGTGAGTCCTCTGCTACCACGATGAAACACAACTGTCTTAGTTTTGATGCTAATGTCCCTCCTCTTCTCCTCCTCTCCTCCTCCTCTCCTCCTCCCAGAGCGCTTCTCGTCATTGTCGTAAGCCAGTGATCAACGCTGGAGACGGCGTGGGAGAACATCCGACCCAGGCCCTGCTGGACGTCTTCACGATCAGAGAGGAGCTGGGGACGGTTAACGGCATGACGGTGAGGATCGACATCATGATCTGCTGTTTGGCTGGTTCATGTTGTCATGACAACATGTCACTAAGGCTTTTTTGTCGGTTCATGGACTGAAGAAAAAAACTGACATTTTCTTGTTGATTTTTTTTTTTCCTTCTGTCAGATAACGATGGTTGGAGACTTGAAACACGGCCGTACTGTCCACTCCCTGGCCAAACTGCTGACTCAGTACCGCATCACCCTGAGATACGTGTCTCCCAAAAAACTCCACATGCCGGCCGAGATCGTCAACTACGTGGCTTCGAAGGGTATCAAGCAGGTACAGGACAGTGAAGAGACAGCAGGGGGCGACATCATCACCTCCACGTCAAAGTAAAAGTTTAAAATAATATTTGTCGTAAACCTACAGGAAGAGTTTGAGAGCATCGAAGAAGCTCTGCCTGAGACTGACGTCCTCTACGTGACCAGGATCCAGAAGGAGAGGTTCGCGTCTGAGGAGGAGTACAAGGCTGTGAGTCCACTTCATTTACATTTGGCAGACAAATAATGACAGGCCCGTGCACAGCGACGACGACACGAACACAAGTGAATCACAAAGTTATCTCTCGTGTTAGCAGAGTGAAAAAATAAAACTGTGTCTGTGCTGTTGTTCTGTCAGTGCTTCGGTCAGTTCATCCTCACTCCTCACATCATGACTGTGGCCAAGAAGAAGATGGTGGTGATGCATCCTCTGCCCAGAGTCAATGAGATCAGGTGACACTCAGCGGAGGGAAGATACAAACATTCATAGTTTGAATAATTTAACTTTGAAATTCTTATTTTCTTTTCCTCCTTTTCATCTTTCAGCGTGGAAGTGGACACTGACCCCAGAGCTGCGTATTTCCGTCAGGCAGAAAACGGCATGTACATCAGAATGGCCCTGCTGGCCACCGTACTGAGCAGATAGATGCAGGAAATGGATACAGAAATCATGTAACATGACTTTGTCTGAATTAAATTTTGTGATAAATTTTGTTAGGATAAAAAATTGTTTTTTCCCTCTTTTGATCGAACACGCAGGTGAATTATGAAAGGTTTATTTTGTCAGTGGTGGAGGTGTATTTGTTTTAATGTCCAATTTTTAAAAAAGGGAGGAGTAACAGTTACTGTTGGACCAGTGGGAATGTATGTTGTTTCTTTCATATGAAATATTTCTTTCTTTTCTTTTCTTAAATTTCTTAAAACATTTAAATGTACTTTACTGTACATTAGTGGAACTGTGGTGGGTTAAACTTGAGTGGGTTTTTCACACACTGTGTTGGTTAGCAGCTTTTTTTTTTTTCTAGAACATAAATAATAAAAGATAAATGTTTGGATATGTGGTCTGCTTGTTATTGTTAAATATCTGCCAGTCAAAAAATTGTAAAAAAAATAAAAATAAAAGTGATAGTATGTAAATTCAGCAAATGTATTTTCTGAGCAAATTAAAAACACGAATACTTGAATATTTATTTACTTTTAAATTAAAGCGTTATTGTGAGAAATTAGTAGACTTAAGGAGACATTAGCTAAATTCGTATATGAAAGTTCATTTTTCCCAGATGCCTTGAACGTAGCATCACGTCCGGCTTCCCCTGGAAGAAGGAAACGGCAGCGGCTTCTTCCCCGAGACAAGCTGAGGACACGAAGGGACGACCGGCCGCCGCAGCTGGACACCGCTCCCTCACGAGCAGGCCACAGTTAGAGCTTTTACTCAGGAGTGAAGACCTTCGATCGGGTGCATCTATGGTCCAGCTAACCGTGCGGCGAGATTCACATCTTACAGTTTACACAAGGTAACGCCTTACTCCGTTTCTAATTAGCATCTAGCACACGGTTAGCTTCTTCAGTCAGACTACGTAGCTCACGCCAAACCCCATTCAAAATGTTGCCACTTTTAAGATGGACTGGCCTTAGGCAGAAAAACGGAGTCACACAGTGTCTCATAAATCTGTTGTCTGACTGTTACCGTCTCACAAGTGAATTCAGCTTTAATTTCAAACCCATATCTGTAACAATAAGGGCGGTGGCATTGACATGTGAGGCAACATTCTACGAGGATTTGTCGAATTATTGACGCATTAGCGGTATGAGGTCTTCGCCGAGGAGTTTACCACATTCCCTTTGTTGGTTTTATATTGTTATAGTATTGTATCAGTGTATGTTTTATTTACTAATAGTGATGAATCATCAAAATGTGAATGGAGTGTGGCGTGTTTTTGTTTTCCTACCGGTTTGTATTCCCAAAAAAATCTTTGTAGACGTACGCCCACTGACCGTTGTGAATTAGTGTAAAAAAAAAATCTTAAATTTGGTTAAAGAATTCTCTGCAAACCTGACACAGAATATGACGTAGTGTACCTTTAATTACACACTTACACAAAACAAAGACTCAGATTTTATTTAGATACCAGTAAAATACATATAGAATAAGACAAAAACATAGAGAACATAACATACAAACAATAAAATATAAATTCACATATATACCTTGTATGATGGGATAAGATGACATCATCTATTTTTTAAATAAATATTGAAACGGTGCTTGTGCATTTTTTGTTGGTCTCAAACTGTGGCTGTTGTGCAATCTGTCAGCTTCAGGGAGGTGAAGAAATAACCGGCTCTCCACAACATGTTTAAAACCGTCTTCGTTTTTGTCTGGAGTTGTTCACGAGGACCTGCGATGTCAAATAGAAGGAAAAGCTGGTAATCATGTGCCGACAGATTAGCAGAGGATTAGACTTTGACGAGGACGAGGGACGACTACCAAGCTGGACTGGACTGGACTGGACTGTGGGCCTGGAATATCCAATGGTATCGCAGTATATCACAATATATCGTATCGTTGCATCGTGATACGTATCGTATCACCGGGTTCTTATTGTTAAATACAGATACATTGGACAAAGCTGCAGAGAGAACCATTTAAAGGCACAGCTGGAACTGAGCCTTTATGATTGGTTCGTTTGTATGATGGTCACTTGTTTTTTGTTTATCTTACTGATACTAAAGCTCAAAGTCGGACGCTTCTGTCCGGGCAGCTGTGAATGACTGCAGCCTTTGTGATGAACCATGTGATCCTCTGTGTCTGAACAGTTCTCTGTACGAGTTCCTCCTCCTCATCATCATCATCATCATCACCGTAGGCCATGTGTGATGTGCGTAGTGTGTGTGTTTAGTGTCACAGACTTCCTGTTGGGCCACGTCCAATAGGAAGTGGACGGTCACGGCTGATTGGTCCACGGGCAGTTTGCTGGTTGCAGCAGGTTCTCTAGTCTTCACTGGTCTGAGGTGGATGCTGGGAAATGTCCTCGTAGGACTGACCTTCCACCCTGTATCTCTGTGAAGGTCAGAGGTCAACGACTGGACCGGTTTGGTTCTGTCTCTAATCGTTTATTTTTAGGATTTTTTTTAATCTTTTGAGAATCCCTAGGATTTTTTGGTGCTTTTGTTTCTTTGGCCACTATTTACAGGTGGAGCCAACGACCAGTGAACTAGTACTACTGCACTACTACCATGGTATAGTTAGTTTGTCGTGTGTGTGTGTGTGTGTGCGTGTGCTTCAGCCAGACTCTGACATGGACTTAGAAGTGTAATCTGTGAGATCAGCAAAATGTAATCTTCTTTGGTCAATGACCGGGACAACATTGTTTATGAAACCGAATTAGTGTCTGTGTGTGTCTGTGTGTGTCTGTGTGTGTGTGTGTGTGCACCCACAAACCAGCCTCGTCATTGGACTCGGTGCAGATGTCACTTCCTCTTCCTGTCGTTTGGGGAGAGTACTGCTTTTGTACTGTTTTAAAAACTTTGCTGCTGTTGTTCATGAAGTACGAACACCTAATTATCATCTTTGTCACAGTGGCCTCAACGCTGCACAGTAGTTCACTGAAGGAGTTCCACGTCTGACCACAAAGCCTGATCCAACACGCTTCATGTAGGACTTCATTGGTAGCCAACAGAAACCAGACGTTTGTTCGTCTACCAACACGCCGTCACATGATCTCTGACGGAGCGGCGCTCTCCTGACAATTATGGATAACTGTTTGTTTCTCTTTTTTTTTTCTCTCCTCTCCGGTCGACAGAGGTGAACCATGGCTGAACCCAACGCTGCCCGTCCCCACAGGAAGATGTCCACAGCTGGGGAGAGTGTGTACAAAGTGCTGGGCCTGGAGAAGGGAGCGAGCGCCGAGGACATCAAGAAAGCCTACAGGTGGGTCATGTGACAGATTACGCCGCTCTTCATTGTGACCCGTTCCACAGGATTACTTCCTGCAGATTAGACACAGTGGTCAGTCCTTCACCAGTCGATCGTCTTGACCACAAATGAGAAGGTTAACCCTTTATTTAACCGTCGTCATGGCCGTGGTGCAGCGGCGCTCTGGTCTCTGCTCCGTACAACACAGTCCTGCCTGGGCTGGGATTTGAACAGGCAACCATCTGGTTACAGGCCGGCTCCTTTAACAGAAGTTTTTCTGTGAAATCTCTGGGTTAATGGGATTTTTATGGCTGAGCTGAAAATGAAAAGTAGAAACTGATGACAGGATGTTCCCGTGTGACGTGTGCTTTCAGAAAACTAGCGCTGAAGTACCATCCTGACAAGAACCCCGAGAACCCAGAGGCCGCAGAGAAGTTCAAGGAGATCAACAACGCCAACTCCATACTGAACGATGAGACCAAGAGGAAGATTTACGACGAGTACGGCTCCATGGGCCTGTACGTGTCCGAGCAGTTCGGCGAGGAGAGCGTCAAGTACTACTTCCTCATGTCCAAGTGGTGGTTCAAGGTGGGTGCAGCTGCCGCCTGGTTCTCACACCGTGGTCCCCTGGGCTGACTTCAGGGTTGTCGGTTCATCTCTGTGTGCAGGGCCTGGTGTTGTGTTGTACACTGTTCACCTGCTGCTGCTGCTGCTGCTGCTGCTGCTTCTGCTGTGGCAGGTGTAAACCCCCCGACGACGACAACTACCAGTACGTGGACCCTGAAGACCTGGAGGCCCAGATCAAAGCAGAGCAGGATGGAGGTACGAGGCTGTCAACTGAGCGTGTGTGTGTGTGTGTGGGGTATATTGTTTTTGTATATTTTGTATATTTTGTCTTCCGTGCCTCTGTGGAACTTCCTCTGGTATTTTAAGGATCTTTTTGTTGCACGTGTAAATTAAACTTTTCAGTAAATCAATGGAGGAAGCAACCCTTCATGTTGACCACTAGGGGTGGTGTTGCCCTCTGAATTTATTAATCATTTTTCCTCAGGTTACATTTATATTTCCTTCCTTCCATCGAGTCAGTTAATGAATATATTTGTCGACAGGGAGCACAGTAATCATAGGCCAGCCCACAGCCAGTGTGGCTCCACAGAGCCCCGAGGGCCAGAGTCAGCCCATTCCCATGCCGATGCCCATGCCTCCGCCCGAGCCCCAGTCTCTGACCTCACCTGGTGCAGCGGGGGAGGAAAACCCCGGGGAGACTTTACCAGAGTCTAAGTGACTCGTAAGAGCTGCGTCCTCGTCGTCGTCCTGTGTGTGTGGCCTGTGCTCCATGTTGTCGTTGTTTTGGTTTTTTTTCTTGTACCGGGAACGCCTGACTGCACTACTCTGCTTCACCACACGGACGTCACAGTTCGCCCACGCTGTCCAGTCCCTGCTTGGTGTTGCTGTCCATCTGCTTGTCATCACTCAGAAAACCACCGGTCACCACATGAGCTCTGTCGCACTGACCCCCCCTCCACCCCGCCCCCCCCCCATGCCTCGTACTAACTGCTTGACTTTCATTCATCTGAAGAACCACAGCATGTGGGTCTCATGTCCACCACTGACCTTTGTCACAGTCTCTGCAAATGCTTTTGTTTCATGGTTTCAAACCCATGACCTGATGTCATCGTTCAGCACTTTAATTTTCCCAGAGTTCTTTGGTTTGAAGTCAACGGAACGTTTGCTGTTTTCTCTCGCAGGGCGGTGACAGAGGGGGAGGAGCCTCAGTCTGCAGGAGCAGGTAAGACCGTGTGACCGTGTTTGTGTTTATCTGTAAAGTTGGCCTTGAAGTTCGTCCATTCAGGTCTAAATGTAAGAATTCAAACGTTAGAATTAATTTAAACTCTGACTCAACTGATTAAAAACAGTTCCTGGGTCAGGGTTCAGGGTCTGGTTTGTTTTTGTCCAATCAGACGGCGTTTTAATGATGACAATTTTGTTATAACCATATTTTGGTTAATTTATGAAAATGAAATTCTTCTCTCTGCTGACACCTGCTGGTCTTGTAAGGAACCACCCTGGGTTCCCTGAACAAAGACCATTTTGAACAGAAACTAAAACTTGTCTTTTCCACCTTCTACATTCCTCTGTTTTTGTTTTTGTTTTTTAATTTTCACTCTTTTCCTCCTGTTTCACACGTTCAGCCACCTTCACCATCCAGCCACATCCGACTGCTGCCAGCCTTCAACCAGCCCACGACCACCCAGTGTACTGAGCCTCTAACCTGCTCTGTCTCACCTCCGGACACGTCTCCACAGGTGGACGATCGTTGTCCCTCCACTGGACGCGAGCCGTGGAAATGAAACCACTAATTCCAGAGGCCTGTTGTGTCTGGACGTGTGTGGCTGCTGTTTAAAGACTCGCCTCCATCTTTCGTTCCGGGGGGCGCTCCGGTTCAAAGAGCTGACCCGCATCTGCTTCATGAATGTCATTGTTTTGTTTTGCTCAGTCAGTCATGTGACAGAGGGCAGGAAGAAGACAGGAGACCAGGACTGGACTCTGTTGGTTCTGAGACTTTATTCTCTTTTTCTTTTGTACCTTTTTACCAGTTTACGTGAACTTGGCCTCTGTGGACGTTTGAGAATCATAGAATCATCTTCTCTACGGAATCAGACGACGCCCACCTGAGGCCAGAAACCTGACTCTTTTTTTTTCTTTTTTTCGTCCTGTACTGGGACTCGGTCCTCAGTTCAACTCCTGTCTCTGTCCTCCACTGTCCGAACTTTCAGTCCAACTGTCACGATGACGACTTGAAACGTTTGAGGCCAAACCTGGGGCGGCGGCGGCGGCGTGGATTTCTCTCCCACTTCCTGTGCATGTGTGATGTTTCTGTGTGAATGCATGCTGTGCAGAACTGGACTCACTCCCCTACTGAGAACCTCACCTGCAGGAAGTAGAACAGTCTGCGGTTCCACACAAACCTGTACAGAAACACGAACCAGCTAACGTAACGTCATGTGCCAATCTGGACTGTCCAAATATACATAGACATACATGTGTGTATATACATATATATTTATATATGTATTTATATATGTATGTATGTATATGTATATATATATATATGTGTATATGTGTATATATATGTATATATATACATATATATATATATATATATATATATATGTATACATATATATATATATATATGTATACATATATATATATATATGTATACATATATATATATATATATGTATACATATATATATATACACATATATATGTATATAAATGAATCCCCAGGAATAACTGGCTGAAGTCGTAGAGAAACGTGTGGAGGAACCGGATGTTCTGATCCAATATCGTCATATTATGCAGCAACGATCTGATTTGACACCACGTGATTAAAAAAAATATATAGACTGAACAACAACAGTGCCACCTAGTGGGGCAGTCACCATGCACCATCTCGATTTGACCTCAGCTGTGAAGTTATTGCCAAATGGTTGGTACTTCAGTTTGTCAGTGATCGTAGCAGAACCCTCGTTCCTCGGGCGGTTCTATCTGAACTCAACAAGTACCACGGAACTTTTATTTAGTCGATTTACAGTCAAAATGTGAACTTCTTTCTGTGTAGACCTCAGGTCAGGACTGAGGGTCATCTGTCTGACCTGCTGTAGGTCCGTGAGTCTGAGGCCGGGTTCCAGTTCTGCTCGGCTCACTGCAGGTTAGAACGCAGTTCCAGAACCTTCCAGAACCATCTCGGTGTTTGGCAGCCAGGTGTCAGTAAGTTGACAGAAATTTTGACCTTTGACCCTTAGTGCAGATTTAAAGTTAGTGGAATTCAAATTCTCTTAAATACACGGTGGCAGGTGTCGGAACGACAACAAATACAGCATTAGTCAGACAGATGGCGCTCCACAGCCAGACCCTTCATTGTCTTTAATGAAGAGAGAAATGTAACAAAGGTCCAAACGGCCACGGTTTTTCTTCAGTCCGTCTGTGTGACATTGACGGACTGATCTGGGAACAGCTGACAGATCAGGTCAAACACATTTCATTGGACGGTTGGTCGTAACAGACCTGAGTCCAGGTGTCGTTCTCACAGTGATTGGTCTGTTTCACAGAAGCGTATTTATGAATTTTTTTATTAAAGTCATTGATGGAACAGCAGAAAGACGAGTCCTCGTGGGACGACTCGGAATTTTTAAAGACGTTTTGTTTTTTTTCGTAACTGTCATTATTTATATTTCTTGTAGTGAAGTCGTCATCCAACATCGGCCTGTCTTAGTTCTTCAAGGTGAGACGGGGGAGTCGGGGGGAGGAGCTCCCTGTCGTGACTCCCTGTGGATGAGCTGTAAATGAGTTAATAATGAAATGGAACCAAATAAAACACTGGGGATTTTAGAACTCTGTGACTTCCTCTTTGATTGGTCTCTGACACTGATACAGTATTCACAGAAATACTTGGGGGGAAAAGTATCCAGGAGTAATGTTTAAAAAATAAAAAACTAAATATATATATATATGTTAATTAATATCGTAAAATATATAATTTTAGAACTCATCACTGTGTCTCAAAATATCTTGGTGTCTGAGTGATTAATTAATGTAGTCGTAGTGTTGTACTGATTTGGTGAAATTCCTTAAACTCTCCTCCTCTGCTCCTCACTCTATAAATAGTCTGTTAATCCTGTTATCAGGTTTGAGTCCAGTCCGTCTGTTGATTGGTCAACAGCCTGGTGTGTAAACACAAACAACCTGAAGCCACTGCTGTGCTGAGGGCAAAGGTCAAAGAGCAGGAGCAACAGGAGAGAGCGGTGTTGGTTCCTCAGCCTCTGTGTCCAGTTGACGTTCCACTGTTCCACTGTTCCGGGGCCAGGATGTTCCTGTGGAACGTGGTTTGAACAGTAACCCAAGTCAGAACAAACTCGGCTGCTAAAAATACCATCGGTGGAGCGACCGGCTGCTGCCCAACTGACACACGGGACCGAGGAGAGGGGGGAGGAAGGGGGAGGAGGGAGGTTGTTTCCATCACTGTGAGTGCAGACAGAAAGACGAAGTCAGGAACAACTGTGGAGTGAAATCCAGTTAAAGGAGGAGGAGGAAATAAAAACGTCTCCAGATTCTTCTTCTGCCTTCAAGCCTTCACTCCTCGTCGCTGCCTGGAGGTGATGAGCTCCACTCTGGGCGTTAAACCCCCCTCAGCAGGCAGCTCTGGACCCGGTGCCGGCAGCAGGGCCGCCATGGAGAACCTGGAGAAGCAGCTCATCTGTCCAGTCTGCCTGGAAATGTTCTCCAAACCCGTCATCATCCTGCCCTGTCAGCACAACCTCTGCCGGAAATGTGCCAGCGACGTCTTGCAGGTGAGAATCCAGGACTTTCCCAAGACGTTCAAGGACCAAGACCTGGTGCTGTCGGGTCTCCTGGGCTGTCGACCCGGAGTTTTGGTACTGACGTACAAGAAGTGAAAACTCTGAACAACATCTCCTCCTCTCTGTCTTCCTCCTCCTCTTCCTCAGTCAGCCAACCCTTTGTGGCAAACCCGTGGCTCCACCACCGTTGCTGCCAGCGGCGGTCGGTTTCGCTGTCCCTCGTGTCGCCATGAGGTGGTGCTGGACCGACATGGTGTCTATGGTCTACAGAGGAACCTGCTGGTGGAGAACATCATAGACATCTACAGGCAGCAGGAGACCTCCAGGTCAGTGTGTCTGTCAGAGTAACGTTTGACCAGTGGGTACTGAACTGAAACTCACCTCTCATACAAACGCAGACTCATCTGAGTGTTGTGGTAGCATCGAATTAGTGCCAGCAGAGGGCGGTGTTCAGCAGCATTACTGCCTGCAGGGCAGTGACTTTAAAAACAATGTCAACTGATGAAGAGCTGCAGGATTAAAACGAGCAGAGTTCAATTTTTATCCACTGGTTAACAATATTAACAAATATTGAAGTAGAAGAAATTCAGAAAGTTACCTGAACACACCAGAACTAAAATCGAAAAAAAGTCTAAATAATTTTGCACAGCGACCGTATCAAAAACATTTTAATTCTCAGCGTCTACTGAGGTTTTTTTAAGGAGGTTCTGATCTTCTCCAGGCTCCTGAACCTGAAGCCGCGGCAGCAGCAGCTCATGTGTGAAGAACACCCGGAGGAGAAGATCAACATCTACTGTTTGAGCTGCCAGACGCCGACCTGCTCCATGTGCAAAGTGTTCGGTCCACACATGGACTGTGACGTGGCTCCCATCGCCAGCGTCTACGCCACCCAGAAGGTGAGGAGACAAGGTTGGACTTGAACTGCTCAAATCACTGATGGAACCTTCACACACGCCACGAACATTATGTGGTCATGTGACACATGAGCACAAAGTTTATTGTTTATTGTCTTTAATGAGATGAATGAGTTGAAATGATAATGAAGTGTCATTAGAACAGAGGAGATGATTCACAACTCGCTTGGTCAGTGATGTCATGAGGTCTACGATTGCAGGAACACACACACACACAGAGACATGGTTGTCAAAGTGATGACTTCAAAGGTTTTTTTTATCAGATTTGATTCTGTGAACGTTTGCAGAAAGAACTGAGTGACAGCATCGCCATGTTGGTCGCCAGCAATGACCACATCCTGGCCGTCATCACACAGATGGAGGAGATGTGCCGCACACTGAAGGTGACACACACACACACACACACACACACACGTTTCTAAACGAGCATTTACCAATAACTTCATCTGATCTTAACCTGATGCTAAGATTTAACCCTTTTTTTCTTCTCTTTTTTCTTTATGATTGCAGGACAACAGTAAGCGGCAGAAGGAGAAGCTGGTGGAGGCCTTTGACCTCCTGACCTCCATCCTGGAGGAGAGGAAAGAGGAAGTGGTGGGTGTGATCTCCAAACACCAGGACGACAAACTCCAGCACGTCCAGTCTCTCATTCAGAGACACGGCGAACACCTGGAGGTCGCGGTCGGCCTGGTGGAGTCGGCCATACAGGCCATGGAGGAGCAGCACATGTCTCAGTTTATACAGGCAGGTGGCGCTGCACTCTGTAATTGTACTGTTAAAACACTGGAGGTAGAGGAGGAATAATGTGTGATTTATTTTATTTTTGTTTGTTTTCACTCTCAGAGCGCCAACGTGATCCTGGAGAAGTGAGTGTTTCTTTTATTCTTTTGTTATTATTTGTAGACGAGTCTGTCATTATAAATGTTGTGTGTGTGTGTGTGTGTGTGTGTAGAGTAGCAGACGTGTCCAGGTCCTCAGGCGTCGCTCTTCCACAGTTGGGTTATGAATGTATGAGTCACCTGGTCCTGGACATTGATGATGTCACAGTGATGCTGCGCAGCCTTGACTTCAGCTCCGGTACCAAACAAACAAACAAACAAACAAACAAACAAACAAATCAATATATGAATCAGCTGATTGTTCCTGTGGTTGTCCTTTCATTTTGATCTTTTTATCCTTTTTTATCTTCACTGTTCACATGTTTTTTTTTTAAGGAGGTCTGATATTAAATGAATGTGTGTGTGTGTGACAGGTGTCAGAGATGATGGAGACGATGGATCTGAAGTGGTCGACGATTAAAACCATGACTTCAGCTGCAGTCGAGCAGAAGAAAACGGTCTCAGGTACTGATTCTGTTGTTCACATGTCTCTCTTTTCTCTCTCTTTTCTCTCTCTCTGTCTCGTTACCACAGAATGTTAACAAGTAAATAAATACAGTGTAATAAGAAGGTGAAAATGTAGGAAAATCCTCATGTCAGTTGGCTAACAATAGCTTAAAGTTAGCCCTAAAAAGCTTAAAGTCTGGTGACATGTTCTATTGTTATATGTTAAATGTTATATTTTTATTTCTTTGAATGTTATTTCAGGATGATGCCAGGACAGACATGGATGTGAATTTTTTTGTTCTTCACTGTTAATCCTCCGTGGAGAGAGGTCCACGCAGCAGGAGCAACAGAAGAAGAAAAACGTTGCTTCTCGAAGGTTATTTCTTACTTTGTCTGTTGCGTTTTTATCTCCAGTTTCAGTGTAAGTAGTGACATATCCTGAACCTAAGGAGGAGAAAATGAGAATTTTAAAGATTTTTTATTGTCCTTCTCCTCATTATTCTTTTATACTGAATAGTTTGGTAAAAATTGTTTTGCATTTTTTAGGATGTTTTTTTTTCCTGAATTCGAATGACAGGAAAATGTTTGTATGTATCAAATAAAGATATTTTAACTTCTGTCAGCTGACTTTTCATTGGCTTTTGTTTTTTTTAAGTCACAGAAAACGCACAGAAAAAAACTTGTTTCATTTCGGAAAGTGAAACTCTAATTTAAAGACAGTTTTTCGTTAATAAAGAAACGAGTCATTAGCAGGAAAACTTCAATACTGTGTTTATGTCATGGAAACATACGTGAAGCACATTCAACTTATCGGGGATGTAGCTCAGTGGTAGAGCGCATGCTTTGCATGTATGAGGCCCGGGGTTCGATCCCCCGTATCTCCATGACTTTTTTTTTTTTTCTCGGTCCTGTAAATCAATGCTCGCCTTAATTTACCTGCAGTAACTGTACTCCCTGTGACGTGGGGCCGTTGGTGTTGTCGTCATCGTCATCGTTTCTTGTGGTTTGATCCTTTGTAATACAAATAATAATAAAAAAATCATTGGTTCTTCATTCCAGGTCGTTCTCGGTGCTTTAGAACGGCAGCAGCTTAGATGAAGAAGTGAAATGTCTTCAAGAAACAAAGCTCTAACGTGTCGAATATTTCCCACGTCCGTGAACGCAGCACGCCGCCTCCCGTGGTAACTAAGGAGATTGTGTATACTTCGAAGATGTCCTCCATCTCCATCTCTAAACTGTTCGCGTTCAGACAGTGGACAAAATGAACACTATTTAACGACTCCCGAGCCGTTAAAACCACTTTGGTGGTCGTTTCCTTCCACCACCTTACAGAAAAGTTACAGAAATGCAGCTGAAGCATTTGAAAACGCTGTTAACTCCGCAGGTAAGTTTAGCCTGTGACGGCTAATGCTAACGCTAGCAGCCGATGTAAACAGTTCTGTGGCGCTACATGACAATAACGACGTGACTGAGAAGTTAAAACCAAGCTCTGATTTACTTCTCGTAATTCGGCTCTAAAATACTTTACTAATTCATTTTTAAAAATAGCAAACAATGTAGACTTTTACTGTTTGAACGCTGTGTAGTGTGTCGTGTTACAGGGACAGAAAAAAGTAACAAACTCGTTGATGAAATATTGAACGGCATCTGCACTAAATACGTAATTTGGAAAAAAACAATATTTATTTTAGTCTGTATTTTGTATTTCCCTGGCTTTTATGACCTGACATCACACCGGCGTGGGTTTGTCATTCTGACCCCTGACCTTTTGTGTCCTGTCCTATAAAGGAGGGAGCAGCCAAAGTGACATGTATGGCCTGGGCTCTGAACAACTCCAGGTTCGCCGTGTGCACCGTGGACCGGGTGGTGCTGCTGTATGACGAGCAGGGAGAGAGGAGAGACAAGTTCTCCACCAAACCCCTGGACCCAAAGGTCAGAGCAGAGTCTTGGAGGACCACATCTGAACCAAGCTGAGAAAATGTGGCGTCATGAAAATGTGATTTTATTTTTTTACAGTATGGGAAACAAAGCTACACTGTCAACGACATGGTGTTTTCACCAGACTCCACCAAAATAGCCATCGGACAGTCTGACAACATCATCTATGTCTACAGAATCGGAGAGGAGTGGTGAGTTCAAGGCCGGCGATGTTTTCAGGTTGTTTTTGTCGTGAACACAGATCCCTGAAATGACACATTTCAATCTTTCCCTCTGACCAGGGGAGACAAGAAAGCCATTTGCAACAAGTTTGTTCAGACGGTGAGTGAAAGTGTGAAAATTCACATCATAGGTTGAAACAAGAAAAATCTCCAGTTTTACTGAAGATGTTCGTTCTGTGTGTGACAGAGTGCAGTGACTCGTCTGCTCTGGCCCGCAGAACACGCCGTAGTCTATGGACTAGTGGACGGAAAGGTGAGTGGCTGACAAGTTTACACCAACAAAACACAGCAAAAAAAAAATTTTTTTAACAAACTGTATATATGTAGATACCACTTGGCTAATTTTCTGTTTTCTTGTTGGGTAATAATATAATATTAATAATATAATTAAGCTACTTTAATAACTTATAGGTAAGATTTAGCCTAGCATACACGGACTCATCTTTTGGTTCATTTCTAACTATTTCTAGACAAATGATGTTGATGTTTAGCTTCTCAACATTTGACCCTTTGTTGCTGTAGTTTTGTTAGATATATTTTCCTGTTGATGTGTAACAGCTTTTGTTATTTAGCCCTACATTTACATATGTTTTGAGTCTTCTAAATCTCTTTTGATTGACAGGTGCGTCTGGCCAACACTCAGACCAACCGATCTTCAACCATCTACGGCACAGAGTCCTGTGTCGTCTCCCTGGTGTCCAAGTAAAAACATCACAAAAACTTTTCATTTTGATGATGATGACTGATCAAAAAGACGGAGGCTGAGAATTTTTTTTTTTTATTCCTGTGTCAGTGTCTCAGGTAAAGGAATCCTTTCAGGTCACGCTGACGGGACGGTGGTTCGGTACTTTTTTGATGATGAAGGTTCAGGAGAGTCGCAGGTACCAGAAACTTCTCCCAATTTTTATCCTCCTTTATTGTGTATTACATTAGAAAATCTTAAATAATATGTTTTGGGGAAACTAATGGTGGTAAACATTTTTGTTATCTCCTCTAATAATTAAAAAAAAAAGGCACCAGAGCCCATGTTTCTGTAGCTGTGTAAACTGCAGCAGCAGGTCAGCAGCACCTGGACTCCACCGAGCTAAAATTGATCATTTTCTCTATGGACTTTTGAATGGGAGGTTTATAAAGGTAAATATATTTGAACTCAACAACCTCTGACCACACCTTCACTCTGTGACGTAGGGGAAGCTGCTCGTGCATCCCTGCCCCCCCTACGCTCTGGCCTGGGGGGCCAACAGCATCATGGTGGGGGGGTGCGATAAGAAGGTGGTGGTGTACAGTAAGGAGGGTCAGGTCCTGCAGACCTTCGACTACAGCCGGGACCACACAGAGAAGGAGCTGACGGTGGCGGTCACCAGCCCCAGTGGACAGTCGGTGGTGTTTGGCAGCTATGACCGGTCAGTGTGTGCGTGTGTGCGTGTGTACGTGTGTAAACCAGATCAGTCTGGTTCGTCTTTTTCCATCCTTTTTGTCATGGATGAAAACCAGGTTTGTGTTTTCCAGGTTGCGTGTGTTCAACTGGGCTCCCAGGAGGGGCGTGTGGGACGAGGCCAAACCCAAAGAAATCCAACACCTCTACACCATCACCAGCCTGGCCTGGAAGAAGGATGGCTCGCGTCTGTGTGCTGTAAGCACGACCCCGCCCCTGATATTAACTCTCCTGCTGTTCCACGTCATGTTCACGTGTTCCAAACGCGTTCTCACTGACGTTCTCTGTGTGTGTGTGTGTGTGTGAACAGGGAACGCTGTGTGGAGGGGTGGAGCTGTTCGACTGCTGCCTGCGTAGATCCATCTACAAGAATAAGTTTGAGATGACCTACGTGGGCCTGAGCCAGGTGCACTGAGTCACTGTTGACCTGCAACAGTTATTAACAGCCGGTGATAAAAGACCAAATGTTCTGATTGACTAAAATAAGAAGCTAAAATTCACGTAAAAAAATAATAGACAATGAAACATTCTCAGCCGTTTCCAAAGTTCTCATCAGCCTTCTGGAAGCTTCTCCTCCAGGATTCAGTCATCTTCCACTCCATCAGCTCCACCTTTTTCATAGACCCTCTCGTCGTCTCCAGGTGATCGTGAAGAACCTGTCCACAGGAACCCGCGTGGTTCTCAAGTCCTACTACGGTTATGAGATCGAGGAAGTGAAGATCATGGGGAAAGACCGGTTCCTGGTGGCTCACACCTCAGACACTCTGCTGCTGGGAGACCTGCTGACCAACAAGCTGAGCGAGGTACCGTCATGATGCTGTTCTGATGACCCCCAGTGACAGAGAGCCTGACAGAGGTCAAAGGTCGTCTCAACAGACAAATGTTTGATGTTCACAAGTTTGGAACTCATTTTCTCCTCTTGATTTAAATTCACAACATATCTTATTAAATTTCATCAAAATTGATACAAAAAAACAACTAAAAAGACACAATTATCATATTTATTTGTATGAATTAAATTTAGACACTTAAGTGTATCATATTTATTTGTATGAATTAAATTGAGACATTTAAATGTATAATAAATTGTAATTTCTTTGACTTTATTAAACCATAAATATCCAAAATATATTCCAAAATTCTGACCAGTAACAGGAAGAACATCCATATAAAAGAACTGTTTCCTGTGATAATACTGTGCTGTTTCCTCTGTTTCAGGTTCCGTGGCCTGGTTCTGGGGGAAATGAGAAGTTCTTTTTTGAAAATGAAATGGTACACACACACACACACACACACACACAGCAGATTATAGAAGGCCTATAACTGAACACCTGACAGTTAGTGTCTCGTCCTGTGGCCCCGCCCACTGACACACACTTTTGTTTTTCTGTTTTTAAGGTGTGTATGATTTTTAACGCTGGAGAGCTGAGTCTGGTGGAGTACAGCAACAACGAGATCCTGGGCTCAGTCCGGACTGAGTTCATGAATCCTCATCTCATCAGGTAGATCCATTCACACACACACACACACACACACACACACTCAATACACAGGTGCTTAGTCACACACAGTCACACCTCGGCAGGTTTTTCTGGTTATAAATACACAAAAACCTGGGTGCACTTGTGTTAATGCACCACTAGGGGTCGGTAAAGTCACCTGTTTACTCTTCAGAAACTAAATCGAATCGTAGAAGTGGACGCATTCATTTATATTCTATTTGTCTATTATCATTCATTAAACCACCAGATGGCAGTATTTCTCCGTGCACGAGCCTGACTTCTCCCCGCAGTCACGGCTGCAGCAGTAACTATGACGTGTCTTCAGAAACAGTGAGGACTGAATCAGTCCCTCAGTGACTGATTGACAATTGACAGCAGGGGGCGCTAACGTTTCGAGGCTCTTCACCTCTGGCTCAACAACAGAAATTCCCAGAGCAGATGTATGCTGGGAGTTGAAGTCCAACAGACATGGTTTCTTGATAAAAAGTGTGTGTGTGTGTGTGTGTGTTTGCAGCGTTCGACTGAACGAGAGGAAGCAGAGAGGAGTGGGGGACAATAAGAAGCTGTCGTATCTGATCGACATAAAGACCATCGCTGTTGGTGAGTTCCAGCAGTGAAATAAAGTTTAATGCTATTAAAAGATGTTGAATATAACCGATGAGCGCTGTGATTGGCTGAAGCTAATGTCGGGATTTTGTGTCATTTCCCTGTCTTTCTGGTTGACCTCTGACCTCGGTGAATATTGGACAAACGTGTAGCTATTTTATTTATTTTATTGTTTTGTTTTTTTTTACATTTTTCCTTCTGTGTCTAAAGTTTGGACTCGGACATGTTTCCATCCCAGTTCCACTGCAGTCACAGTGACCTCAGCTGTTGGTCCATGACTTCCGCCGCAGTGTAATTAATAACATAATAACATTAATAACACTGTGTATGAGGTTGGTGCAGTGAGGGGACCGGTGTCCCCCTTTAATTAGAAGACGCCATCGGTCCTTCACACTGTAGCAGCTCCTCCTCAGTCCCAGTGCTGGAGAGTTTGTCCGGCTAGAAGCTAAGTCCTGACTCTGGCCAACAGAATTATGGGTAGTTGTTTCCTAACCCTCCAGTTTAATCTGAAGACAACGACACAGTCACACACTCTCTCTCTCTCGCTCCCCCCCTCCCCCCTCCCCCTCCCTATCTCAGTGGACCTGGCCGGAGGCTACAACCTGGGAACCATCAGCCACGACTCCAAGATTGACTGGCTGGAACTTAATGAAACCGGACGCAAACTGCTGTTCAGGGACAAGAAGCTGCGGGTGAGAATAAAACGTCAGTGCCCTGAAGGTGTGCAGCAGCAGAGGGGAGGCAGGGGGGGAGGAAGGGAGAGAGAAAATACAAGCTTGGTCCGTCTGAAGTCTGCAGTTAAAACCGTATCCCTTCAGTAAAGTTCCTCTGAGTTCCTGGTGGAATCAAAACCCACTGGGTATCATGGAGAAAATGTCTGCCTGCTCAAACAGTGGCCTGAGGGCTACATGTGGCACACACCGCACTACACAGCGGCCCAGACTGTGGTCATTTGGAAACTGAGAGAATTACAGTTCAGTAACAAAGAGACCTTCAACACTGGGGAGTTGGTCTGCTGTCCCTCAGCTCATTATCAACCCAAACCAGTAGAGGGAGTTGTAGCATGTCCTGAGTGTTAGCTGTCACTCGTTGCCCAGGGCAACAGATCAGTTTGATGTTGAAGCCTCTGGGGCAGAAACATGGAGGACTGTGGTCATTAGAAAATCCTCAGTGGTGTCAAAAAAAACTCTGTTTTTATTTGTCTGGAATAATTTAAATAAAAACTTTTAATTTGACCCAGTCCAGAAAAAAGTTTTATTTCATGAGGACGACATGTGACCTGAACCTCAAACGTTGGTCGACATCAGTTTTTTTTTCTTCTCACCTCCGTCTGCTCCTCAGCTCCACCTGTACGACATTGAGAGTGGACTGAAGACCACGCTGCTGAGTTTCTGCTCCTACGTTCAGTGGGTGCCCGGCAGTGATGTGGTCGTGGCCCAGAACAGAGGAAACCTCTGCATCTGGTACAGCATCGATAGTCCGGAGAGCATCACCATGTTTCCCATCAAGGTAGGAGAAGAACTCCCCCTGGGGGTGAGGAGGAAGTACCAGTACTACAAGGCTGTGTGTTTGACTGTGTCCAGGGAGACATAGTGGATCTGGAGAGGGTGGAAGGGAAGACAGAAGTGGTCGTGACCGAGGGCGTCAGCACCGTCATGTACACGCTGGACGAAGGTCTGATCGAGTTTGGTACGGCCGTGGACGACGGAGACTACGACAGGTACCGTGTGACCTCCGTGACCTCTGACCCCCTCCTGTGGAGTCTCAGAGGTTCGGAGCAGATGTCCTTTTGTGCTGCGTCTTCCTCCAGCTGCTCTGGGCTCCACGTCAGACACTTGAGCAGTTCTAACTGGACGCTCCTCCTGGAGGAGCAGCAGCTGGACACTTCACTGTGACTCCACTCCGTCAGGCAGAATGAAGCTGATTGGTTATTATTTTAGGAAGAAGAGTCTGAAGCTGTAGTGTAGCTGTGACTGGTCCAGATGACCAGCTGATCATTACCAGCTGATCATTACCAGCTGATCATTACCAGCTGATCATTACCAGGCGATCATTACCAGAATAGGGCTGCGTGTTGGCAAGGATCTGCTACGATACGTATCACGATACGGGCCAACGATACAATATATTGCGATACTACAGTTACAACGATTTATTGATCATTAATAAATACTGTTGGAGTTCAGATGGAGTTTGAATCCTGGTCCTTCAGTGGAACTGGAACCACAGTCACAGCGTTTGTACGTTTGAAGACAAACGAACTACGTGATGTTCCACGTTAGTCGCAGCCACCAAAAAGTCCGTGAACATCACTTCCTGGGCGGAGGCCCGTTCTCTTCTTCTTCTTCTTATCTCCAGGAATCTGGCACTGAGGTTTTCCAAAGATGTTTTTTTTCCTCCCTGTGTCTCCAGAGCCACTGCCTTCCTGGAGACTCTGGAGATGTCGCCAGAGACTGAGGCCATGTGGAAGACGCTCAGCAAGCTGGCTGTGGAGGCACGGCAGCTGCACATCGCAGAGAGGTCGTATACACACACACACACACACACACACACACACACACACACAGAAAGCTCATTTATACTGAACTAATTACATTCTTTATCAGTCTTCATTGTAACTGATACTTATCTTTGGAGGATGAAGACAAGGGCACCTTCATCACCTGCAATGAACACACACACACACACACACACACCTATTTCTGCTTTGTTTTCCATTCATCCCAACCTTGACTTTGACTTTTGTTTCTGGATTACAACCTTCAACCAGGAGTCACTTCTCATCATCGACCTCTGACCTCAGGTCATTCACTCTTTCATTCATTCATCTTCTTCAAAACATCCCAGCACAAACCCTGTACAGTACTGGGTCGAGCTCCTGGGGTTGGACCACGTTTTATTTTCACGCAGAAACTTCATTAAAGAAGGATACAGGCAGGGGGCGCTGTAGATGAACACACCAGCCCTGGTCTTCATTTCAACCAAAAAAAAAAAAGACTGAATTCATAAACACAGCGATGCATCACCAGTGGTGTCACCCCCACTTCCTGCCTCACCCGCCCTCACATCTTATATTTATGAATCTTATAAAATTCTGTTTTTTTAAAGATCTTCTTTTATCAGTGACATGTCTCTCTGTCTCTCTCTCTCTCTGTCTCTCTGTCTCTCTCTCTGTCTCTCTGTCTCTCTCTCTCTGTCCCCTCCTCCCCCCTTCCCATCTTTATTTCTCTCTGTTTAGAGAAACTTTAAAAACGTGAACTCTCTGTGGTTAATTATGCATCTCCTCCTCGTTAGGCAGCGGCCTGATTTGCATAAATCATGAAATCGGAGAAGAAGGGAGAAAAAAAAAAGGATTTTGTCTGAAGCCAATGATGTTAATGAGGGCAGGAAGTGAAGTTTTTATATTTTCTCCTTAACTTCCAGGACTTGTTCATTAATCTGATGCAAGGCCTCAGAAAGAGTTGGTAATAATGAGCGCAGACACCGAGGCTCACCTTCTCAGCACACACTCTGAGAAGCTGCTTTAATCTGCGCGTGTCGTCGGTCGACGGTCGTCGTCGTCGTCGTCCTGTTTGGTTCACGTCGACGTCTCCTTCTCTCTGCAGGTGTTTTGCTGCTCTGGGCGACGTCTCCACCGCCTGTTTCCTCCACCACACAAACCAGATCGCAGATGAGGTGTCTGATGAAATGGTAGTTCACACACACTCACACACACACACACACACACACACACTGCAGGTTGTTGTGGCTGATTATTAATATTCTACACTTCTGCTTCAGTGACTTCACAGTCTGAACATTTCCACTCAACCAACACTGAATAATTTACTGTTTGTTTCAAACATGCGTGGACGCTGCTCACAGGCCACGCCTCCTCCGGATGCAATATTGATGACATTGATTACAGTCGGCTGCTCTTTACATTCACAGACAGACGTTAACGCAGCTCACCACCACATGATGAATGAATCCAGTATGAAAGTGTGTTGATGCTGATCTCTGTGTGTGTGTCAGGGAGGCGACGGGACAGCGTACTACCAGGTCCAGGCCCACATGGCCATGCTGGACAAGAACTTCAAACTGGCAGAGATGCAGTACTTGGAGCAGGTGAGCGACAACAAAACAGTGATTATCAACCGGCGGCTCACGGGCCGATTCCAGCCCACGGAATCGTCCCAGCCGACCCACGACTGGATGTCGAAATAAAAATGTGATTTTTCGTTCATTCAGTTTTTTATGAGTGCAGATCAGACTCCTGAGATCAGGTGGGAAAATTAAAAAAGTGAATTGATATAGTAGTTAAGATGAGATGAGATAAAATAAAGTCAGATGTAATGAAACCACCTGGGGTGAAATATGTGAAAATAAGGTCAAAGTAAGTGGAAAAACTTCAGATGAACCTCAGTGTTTCAGGCACTAAGATAGTGACGTTTTAGGATGAAATGAGGAATGAAAAGTTTCTTGTCGTGTTATTAAAGTTCAGATGAACGTCAATGAAAGATGAAAATAAAAATGCATCTTATTTTCAATTGACAGAATGCCATTGATGAGGCCATATCCATGTACCAGGAGCTGCACATGTGGGACGCCTGCATCACTGTGGCTGAAGCCAAGGTGACAATGAAGTGATGATGGTGATGGTAGTTATGGTAGTGATGATAGTTATGGTAGTTACTGCAGTAAACAATGATGGTGATGGTAGTTATGGTAGTTACTGCAGTAAACTGTAACAGTACCTCACTGGGTTTCTGGGTAAAACCTTTGACACTTAGCTGTTTGGTACCAGTTAGCAGAAGAGCCCTGAGATCCGACCGTTGTGACGGTACTTTGACGGCGTCTGTAAACTTTTTCCTGTCTCTCACGCCGTTTTCCCCTGAAGGGTCACCCAGAGCTGGACGTCCTGCGCAGGAGTTATTATCAGTGGCTGACAGAGACGGGTCAAGAGGAGAAGGCGGGGGAGGTGAAGGAGAAGGAGGGAGACTTTCAGGCAGCCATTAATCTGTACCTGAAGGCAGGGCTGCCGGCCAAAGCTGCCCGCCTGGCCCTGGGCCAACCAGAGATCGGCAGCAACAGTGACATCATCAGTCGCATCGCCGTCAGTCTGATGAAGGGAGAGTTTTACGAGAGGGTGAGTGGACGCTAACGTTGAATCTCTTTAATGACCAGGACACAGGACATACATTTGTATTTAAATAACTATCACAAAAAGTCCACGAGCCTGTGTTTTGAACAACCCTCCCCTCGTCTCTTGATCAGGCAGGAGATCTGTATGAGAAGATCAGGAACAACCAGAAGGCCCTGGACTGTTACTGCAAAGGAGGGGCGTTCAGGAAAGGTAGGACGGACGTAGACTGACCTGAACTGGAGCTGCAGTGAGGGATGCCTTCACTGTCTGTTGGAATAGTTAGTTTCAGTGTCAGTACCGTGTGACCCACGGTGTCTCCATCCTGCAGTAGTTCTCTGTAGAACATCTGTCAGTTTCTCGGTGGCAGCGGAGAGCAGCGCCGTCCTTAATGACGTCTCTCTCTACTTCCTGTTTCCTGTAGCGGTGGAGCTGGCTCGCCTCGCCTTCCCTGGCGAAGTGGTGAAACTGGAGAACTCCTGGGGCGACTACCTCGTCCAGCAGAAACAGATGGACGCCGCCATCAACCACTTCATCGAAGCAGGGTACGTGGTGTAGCCGAGGCGGGGGAGGGCGGGGGGAGAGGAGACAGATGGAGAGGAGGAAAGACTGGAGTCCAAGTCCACAGATCCAACAGAGAGTCTTTAAATCCTCACCAGGAGCAGGAAGAAGAGGCCGCCGCAGAAATAAAAAGAATTCTTTTTTTAATTGACTTTCTGAGTCAACGTGAAACTGAGACTCGGTTATAAATAAAACAGGATCAGGTGGTCGTCACCGCCAGAGTCAGGACTTGGCTGCTTGACTTTGTCTTCATGAAACTGAACATAATAGTCTGTATATGAACATGTATATAAATATGTTTTCAGCTGGAGCTCAGTGAGGTGGTAATAATGTCACGACTTTTCACGCTCTCGTTTCTTCAGCTGCTTCCTCAAAGCCATCGAGGCGGCCATCGCAGCCCGCCAGTGGAAGAAGGCCGTGCAGATCCTGGAGGACGTGGACAAGGATTCCTCTGCCGGGAAGTACTACGTGAAGATCGCTCAGCACTACGCCTCCATGCAGGAGTATGAGGTACTGCATCCAGACAGAATCCCGGCTCCTGATTGGACAAAGTGTTGTAGCGCAGTGGAAACGATTGTCTGGATTATTGTTATTATTGGTCATTTTGTGACCATGTGACTGACCACGTCTCTGTGGACCAGTACCATGGGACAACTGGTACCAATATAATAATAAATTGCATTTTATTAATAAGTGAATGTGAAAAATAATGAATGAAATTCAAATATTGTTAATTTTTTTTAAATTATCAGTGCAAAAAGTGATTTTACTTTGAAAAATGAAAAAAACCCCGCAGTGACGTGTGTGTGAAGACACTTGTCACATTGTAGATGGAAGGACAGGTGTGATTTGTCTTTGACCTTGTTCTGCAGTGAGAGTCAACATCACAGGTTCAGTCTGAAGGATTTCCTCTCGGCTCCATCTTACACACTCTCCATGTGTGGACATCACAGTATGAGCAGCCCATAACCCAGTGTGTACAGTCTGTACGTCCCAGGATAAGTGCTGATTCATGCAGCTTTGTCCTGAGGTGACCACACCGGGGCCCGTGCTGGTCCCTGAACGCCTCGCAGCCTGAGGCGGGAAGCGGCCAGTGACATTTGGCCACAGGCTCTTCATTTCTGAGCCTCTCTCTGGGACGTGTTCACTGTCTGTACCTGAAGGAAAGTCAGCACACACTTTGGTGCAGTCCCTCCGGAGCTGTGTGTGTGTGTGTGCGTGTGTGCGTGTGTCGCCCCGCAGCCTTTGGCAGTTAATGACAAGTTGGACGGTTTCAGCAGCACTTTAGGTTGTAAATAGAAAAAAAAGTAAGGAGCTGCTGAAAGGAGTTAGAGAACTCAGGGAGGAGAGGGAGCGAGTGGCAGAGTGCCTCTCTCTCTCTCTCTCCCTCTCTCTCTCCCTTCATTGTGATGAGCTCAGCTGAGCCACGCTCGTCCTCCGCAGACTGCCAGCCTCTGAAAATAGCAGGCTATTTCAGTCTGTTTGCTCTGCGGGAAGCGTTTGCAGAAAGTAATTAAGATAACGGGCTCTTTGCTCTCGACTTGTGGAAGATGCAGCGGAGAAAAAGTGCAGAGTAAAACAATGATGGAAACAATGATGGGAAACTGGTTCCTGTGTTTTCACTCTGAAAATCACAAATCGTTTTTTTTTCTGCTGCTGAACTGAACGTTTCTGCACTCAGCGTCCAAACTCCGAGTCCGATGTCTGTGTCTGTTTGTATGTTCACGGCCTGTAGGTGGCAGAGCAGCTGTATGTGAAAGGAGGTCACATTAAAGATGCCATCGACATGTACACCACAGCAGGTCGCTGGGAGGAGGCGCACAAGGTCAACACACACACACACACACACACAATCACGAGTGAATAAAGTTTCTGAAACTGAAATCTGCAGAACTGACGTTTGTCTTGTTTTACTTTGTTTTGGTGAATCTTTCTCCAGCTGGCAGCGCGGTGCATGACGGAGGAGGAAGTGATGGCTCTGTACGTCAGCAAAGCTCAGGAGCTGGAGAGAGACAGCAAGTTCAAGGAGGCTGAGAGGTGGACACTCTTCAGTCTTCAGACGGATGTAGGGCCGTGGTTCAGGTGATGAGGTTTGACTGACGTCTGTCGTGTCTGTGCTGTGTCTGTGCTGCACCAGACTGTTCACGGCCGTGAAGCAGCCGGACCTGGCCATCACCATGTACAAGAAGAACAAGATGTTTGATGATGTCATTCGGATGGTGGCCAAACATCACCCGGACCTGCTGACGGAGACTCACCTGCATCTGGCCAAGGTGAGTCCCAACAGGAAGGAGAATGTCAAAACAAAAGCTGAGGACAAAATGAAAGGATGTTGAAACAAATCTAAAGGTCATCGAGGTCAAACAGGTGAGAACCAGATAACAGTACCTGACCTGGTACCAATGACCCACAGCCTGGTACCACTTCAGGTCCTGGTGATCGGTGACCTCTGCCAACCAGGACTGAAACATGGTCTCAGCTCAGCTGTGGTCACTGTCGTGACTCAGCAGCCAATCAGATGGTCCCGTCTAACTGACTCAGATAAAGCTTTAACAATTTCCACGTCTTCATCAGGACTTCATTACAGGAGCCGCTCCGCAGACCGCTCGCTGGTCTCCAGAGGACGGCGAGCGGCTGTAAACACGTAATATTAGAAGGAGTCGGACTCTCCACTCAGAAGTTCTGTAGACAGTAAAAGCCCCGATCCGACAGACTTTTATCTGGAACGTTCCCTCTCAGACACGACGTCTCGCGGCTGCAGTTCATAAGTAATTCAGCAGAGTCGGGTCGTAAAGAGGGAAGTAAATGCATCCCGGTCTGGAGTGTCTTTAGAGTGTAGACTCATCACAGTACTGCAGTGGTACTGCACGTGTGTGAAGCTGACGTACCGCGTTGTTGTTTGTTTGTCCTAGGAGCTGGAAACAGAGTCCAGGTTCTCAGAGGCCGAGTTCCACTTCATGGAGGCCGAAGACCTGAAGGCCGCCGTCAACATGTACCGAGTCAACGACATGTGGGAGGACGCGTACAGGGTGTGTACAGCAACAACAACAACAGTACCAGCTGAGACACCAGATGTGTTAACACAACACCAGCTGCTGGAGACGGACGTCGGGCTGAACCTCAGTCTGCTGCTGCACCAAACCCCATTAAGAAAATCAATGATTTTAGCTGAAGGAGACTGAGGAGCTGCTGCTCCACTCCCGCCTCAGTTGTTATGTTTCTGTCCCTCAGCTGGATCTAAAATGAAGGGTATTCTTAGAGTCAAGTCACAGTAACAAAGTACTACAGTACTGCAGAGTACTACAGTAAATCAACAGCCGTTGTCTGCTCTTGGACCAAATGCAATATTTTACTATGGAGTTTGGAGTATTTAGGAGCGAACGGTTATTTTATTGATTTTTCCTTTGGTTTTAACACCTCAGCCTTACACTTGTGTGTGTCTGTTTCTCTTCATTTGTGTGTGTGTGTGTGTATGTGTGTGTGACAGGTGGCCAAAGCTCACGGCAGCGCTGGTGTCCAGAGGCCGGTGGCCTTCCTGTGGGCCAGGAGCCTGGGAGGAGAGGCTGCCGTCAAGCTGCTCAACAAGTTCAACCTCCTGGAAAACGCCATTGAGACGGCTTTAAATAACCTGTGAGTCACACACACACACACACACTCTACCTGACTGAGAGTTATGGGGTGAACTGTTACGTCAGACCCCGTCTAACTGACTCAGATAAAGCTTTAACAATTTCCACGTCTTCATCAGGACTTCATTACAGGAGCCGCTCCGCAGACCGCTCGCTGGTCTCCAGAGGACGGCGAGCGGCTGTAAACACGTAATATTAGAAGGAGGCGGACTCTCCACTCAGAAGTTCTGTAGACAGTAAAAGCCCCGATCCGACAGACTTTTATCTGGAACGTTCCCTCTCAGACACGACGTCTCGCGGCTGCAGTTCATAAGTAATTCAGCAGAGTCGGGTCGTAAAGAGGGAAGTAAATGCATCCCGGTCTGGAGTGTCTTCAGAGTACTCATCGCAGTACTGCAGTGGTAGTAAATGCATCCCGGTCTGGAGTGTCTTTAGAGTGTAGACTCATCACAGTACTGCAGTGGTACTGCACGTGTGTGAAGCTGACGTACCGCGTTGTTGTTTGTTTGTCCTAGGAGCTGGAAACAGAGTCCAGGTTCTCAGAGGCCGAGTTCCACTTCATGGAGGCCGAAGACCTGAAGGCCGCCGTCAACATGTACCGAGTCAACGACATGTGGGAGGACGCGTACAGGGTGTGTACAGCAACAACAACAACAGTACCAGCTGAGACACCAGATGTGTTAACACAACACCAGCTGCTGGAGACGGACGTCGGGCTGAACCTCAGTCTGCTGCTGCACCAAACCCCATTAAGAAAATCAATGATTTTAGCTGAAGGAGACTGAGGAGCTGCTGCTCCACTCCCGCCTCAGTTGTTATGTTTCTGTCCCTCAGCTGGATCTAAAATGAAGGGTATTCTTAGAGTCAAGTCACAGTAACAAAGTACTACAGTACTGCAGAGTACTACAGTAAATCAACAGCCGTTGTCTGCTCTTGGACCAAATGCAATATTTTACTATGGAGTTTGGAGTATTTAGGAGCGAACGGTTATTTTATTGATTTTTCCTTTGGTTTTAACACCTCAGCCTTACACTTGTGTGTGTCTGTTTCTCTTCATTTGTGTGTGTGTGTGTGTGTGTGTGTGACAGGTGGCCAAAGCTCACGGCAGCGCTGGTGTCCAGAGGCAGGTGGCCTACCTGTGGGCCAGGAGCCTGGGAGGAGAGGCTGCCGTCAAGCTGCTCAACAAGTTCAACCTCCTGGAAAACGCCATCGAGACGGCTTTAAATAACCTGTGAGTCACACACACACACACACACACACACACACACACACACACACACACACACTCTACCTGACTGAGAGTTATGGGGTGAACTGTTACGTCAGACAAATCTAGACCTTAAAATGAAGCACACTGACTGGTTGTAATGGTGGAAAACGATGCTAATGTCGTTAGCATAGACTCTTCACCTCTGACCCGCTGTATCGTGATGAACTCTTTATTCTCTCACTCTGTTCCCTCTGTTCTTCAGCTCCTTTGACTTTGCCTTTGATTTGGCGCGCTCGTCCTTTAAAGAGAAGATTCCTGAGATCCACCTCAAACACGCCATGTACCTGGAAGATGAGGTGAGCAGCCACAGTGTGTGTGTGTGTGTGTGTGTGTGTGTGTTCTCTGTTGTCACGAGAACATCCTCCTGATTCCATCTGTTCTGGGTTTGATTTTCCAGGGGAAGTTCTCCGAAGCAGAGGTGGAGTTTGTCCGAGCAGGAAAACCCAAAGAAGCCGTTTTCATGTGAGTGCAGTTGTCATTGATGATAAGTGACTGTAGGTGGCAGCAGACCAGTTAATGACACAGTGATTCACACATCGGTCAGATCTAGGGATGTAACGATCGTCGATCGTCCCGAATCAATTAACAGTCGATACAAATAGGTGAGAATCGGCATTGGTTGAAATAAAAAACTGGATCGACCGTTATTTTAATTCTGTTGTTGAAGAGAACGATTTCAGTTTATGAGGTTCAGACGTTTTCAGTTGGTGATGGGAGTTCACTGACAAGTAAAGGATCATTGTATCTAATTTGTCATTTTGCTCATTTTGTTTAAAAATAAAATCTCTTGTGTGTGCATGTGTGTGTGTGTGTGTGTCACAGGTACGTTCACAACAAAGACTGGGCCAACGCGCAGCGTGTGGCCGAGGGCTACGATCCAGAGAGCGTGTCGGAGGTTCTGGTCGGCCAGGCCAAGTTCTGCTTTGAACAGAAAGAGTTCCAGAAGGCCGAAGCGTTCCTGCTGCGAGCCCAGAGACCAGAACTGGCTGTGAAGTACTACAAAGTGAGTATTTCAAAGTGTCCCTAAGAAGTAGGACTAAAATAGAATGTATTTGGATCCTGGATCTGATCCTGACTCTCCGATCACACCACCGGGTTTGTGGGGTTTTTTTCTCAGGATGTGGACATGTGGAGCGACGCCATGAGGATCTGTAAGGAGTATCTTCCCAACAAGCTGTCCCTGCTGCAGGAGGAGTACGAGAAGGAGACGTCCAAGAAGGGGATCCGGTCAGATTCTAGTTCCTTCTCTGGTTTTAGAACAAACAACAAAACAAAGAAAAGAATTTGATGATTAAAACTCAAACTCACCTCTGTCTGGTGTTAGCAGCTGGGTTTACGAAGGCTGTGAGAAAATATCCATACACTGAAATATATTTGGTTTGACCTCGGGCACCAAAGGGGCCAGAACCAGCTCTTGAGCCTCATTTGTTTATACACTTTATTCCAGTACATTTTAAAAAAAAACTCTTCACAAATGTTTGGCTGTATTTTGCAGTAAAGGAGTTTATCAGAGTATCTGGTTAACATAATCCTAAACCTGAGCCGCGGCGTGGGTCTCTCCTCTCCTCTCTCCCTCTCACCCTTTCTCAGCCTCTTGTGTTATTAGAAGGCAGAGGGGGAGACCAGGGGGGAGACAGACGGCCGTCTGAACGCCTCACAGCCGCTGCCGCAGGTTTGATGCTTTATTAAACACCTCATTTCCCCAAACTGAAACTCCCAGAAAAGGATCAGCTCGTTAGCAGCAAACCAGCTCTTCTCTTCCTCCTCTCCCCTTCACTCCCCCCTCCT